AATTGAACCAGGGTTGGCCGAGTGCAAGGCAAACTCCCTACCCACTGTGCTATTGCTCCAGCCCCCACACATGTCAAATTTCTTACTCACTGTAATATCACTCTGCCTCCCATTACTCCATTTCAATTTGTCTTATGTGCCTGGTGCTACAAGACACTTGATTTTGTGATGCACAACTGTGAGTGGTATTTTACAACATTTCTCTCTCTTCTATTCTGTTATTTGCTATCACTTATATCACTTGTCATCCCGTTGATCATTTATTTGCTCGAATGGGCACCAGTAACATCTCTATTCATCCCTGTCACGTGCTAGTGTAGCCCAATGGTATCTGCTCACGCCAGGAGCATGAAGAGCCTCAAACTGTTTGTTCAGGGTTTTGATGAAGAAGTCTGACCATCTCATAAGTGGGCGGCCACATGTCCTTTTGACGTCTGTAGAATCCAGTCGGTAACAGCTCTACTCCAGCGGTCCTCTCTAAATCGCATTACATGTCTAGCCCATCTGATTTTCGACGCCTTGACAAAGGAGACAGCATCCCTGATTCTTGATTTGACAGAGGTCCAAACTCCGGATTCCTTCTCTCACTTGAGTGAAGTGTGATACTCCAAGCATAGATCTTTTGATTCGTCTTTGGGAAACCCAAGTAGCGTTCTTGGGTTCTGTTTTCATAGGGCCCAGGTCTCTGAAGCATATGTTAGCACAGGGAGAATGGTAGAGTTGAAAAGATGTGCCAGGAGCCAGAGGTTCTTCATCCTCTTAACAACATCTTCATTGCTCTTGAAGGCTCTCCACTCCGCTCTCTTCCTCCTGTGCAGTTCTGACACCAAGTCATTTCTCATGTTGACTTTTGACCCAGGTACACATTGCTGCTGCATTTGGAGATGTTCATTCCACTGAGAGAAAATGGAACATCAGGGACTAGTTTATTTTTCATGAACATTGTCTTAGTGAGATTCAGCTGTAGTCCGACCTTTCCACACTCACGGTTGAAGTCAGCCAGCATTTGTGCTTTTTGACTGATGTTTGGTGTTATTAGAACGATGTCATCAACAAAGTGGAGATGATGTAGTTGTCGACCATCTATCTTCACTCCCATATCTTCCCATTTCAGTCATAGCATGAAATTCTCAAGGGTGGCACTGAAGAGTTTCGATGAAATGGTATCACCCTGTCAAACCCCTCTCTTGATATGGTTGATCACATCCTTGTAGAATGGTGAGATCCTGGTGGTGAATCCGTAATACACCTCGCAGAGGATCCTGATGTATGAGTTTGAACGCCTTGTTTGACTAGGGCTTCGATGACTGCTTCAGTCTCAACAGAATCAAAGGCCTTCTTTAAATCAATGAAAGTTAGACAGAGCAGCATCTTGGATTCTCTCAAAACCTCAGTGAGCTTGGTCACCATGTGGATACGGTCAATCATGCTGAATCCTTTTTGAAATCAAGCTTGCTCACATGGTTTTCCTTCATCTAGTGTTCTACCTATCCTATTCAGGATGACTTGAATGAACAACTTGTAGATGATGGACAAGAGGCAGATCAGGCGATAGTTGCCAATATCATGGATGTCTCCTTCTTGTACAACAGAACATTCCTTCTGGTCTTCCATTGGGACTGAATCTTGCATTCAGACAGGTAGCTAGTGAAGAGCTGAGCCAGTGTATTGATGAGTACTGGCAGCAGATTCTTCAGGTGTTTGGGTCTGACCTTTTCTGAACTGGGTGCTATACGCTTCTTTACCAATGAAATGGCGTGTCGGATTTCTGAAGGGAGAACATTGGGAACAACATATCCATCTTGCAGAATTTGGTATGTGGGCAGGTGGATGTGGCTATCTAAGATATCCGAGTAGAAGTTGTTGGATAATCTCCATTTCCCTTCTGGAAGATGCGATTGATCCATCAGGATGTCAGAGGGCAGTCATCTTGGTCTTGTAGTTGGTGAAGGACAGGTGAGCATTGCGAATACTTTTCTCAGTTTCTGCCGCATTGGCCAACACTGCTACTCTTCTCTCTTTGAGGTCTTCCTTTATCCCTCCTATGCATAGCTTTGCAAGCTCTGACATTAGCTTTTGGTTGCTGAGGCTCACGTCAAACGACATTGACAGATGAGCTCGAGAGTTTCTGAAAACAGGCGTCTTTTTGTGACTTTTCCACTCTCTGCATTCTTCAGGCAGTCGTGGAGGTGCTGAAACAGTCGATTCTATTCCTCCTCTATATTGTCAATGACTGCTTTCCCACATTGCTGCAATAGTGCCAAAGAGCTCCCAGTTGGTAATCATTCTGGGACTTCTCTTTTTAAACTTTGCAGCCCTTTCTCCCCGCTCCGTGAAGTAGAATTTTGCATGAAGGTGGTCCGATCACGTTTGTAATTTTGGGACAACAGCGACATCAGTCAGGCAAAACTTTCAGTTGAATATGATGTGGTCATTTTTGTTGTGGAACCGTCCACCGGGAGACTCCCATGTCCAACATTTAGATTCAGCCTTCTGGAACTGTGTGTTGCCATGGATGGTCTTGGTTGACATGATGAACTCAGTTTCTCACCCTGTTCGTTCCATTCTTGGCCATGGGTCCTGATGTGGAGTTCTTTGGGCGACCTTCTCAGTCCTATATTTTGGCATTAAAATCACCAACAATGATTTCATAGAAGGTGTGATCTTCTTTATAGAACCTCTACAGCTCCATGTAAAACTTCTCAATTTTAGTTGGATGTTGGTGCATAGACGAGGAGGATAAAAACTACAGGCATTGAGCCACACATATTCAAGCATAATCATCCGATTCAGGTTGTTAGGCATTCAAATGAATCAATGCTCATGGCCAAATTCGTGTTGACAAGGACACCGCCACCAATGACGTCTCTATCATCACATGTTCCGAGGAACAGTTCTTCTCCATTGTCGAAAATGGTGTGATGGATCGATGCCTTCTTGTCTTGGTCAGACCAATAATGTCGTTCTTGATTTTCTTTGCTTGCACCATCAGGTCCTCGATGGAGACTTCAGATATCAGCATATGTGCATTGAAATTACTGTCATTTTAGTCCTTCGTTTTGGCAGCCTAGTTCGGCCCTGAGATTTTATCAGCCTCTCCTTGCTCATCCTTCTTAACACTGCCATATTGGGGGCTCTTTTAGGGTCAGGGGGAATGAGGCCCATTGTTTTTACTGCATTGTCATATCGAATACTCCACAGGTAGCTTTCCAGGCTGTACTGTGTGGGTGGGGTACTCTCAGTAGTTTGTTGGGCTCTCCAAGAGGGATGGAGGCTTTTAGGGTGGCTTCTAATTGCCCTTACAGGTGATCCCATGGTTTACACAATATTTGAACCCCATCAAATATGGTGCATAAAATCTGTATTAAGTGTCTTATGATATGGGGGTTATGGTGTGGGGATTGGTGGAAGCAGGCAGAGGATCTCTGTTTCTGGGTCCTATTGAGCCTGGAGTCGAAGGTCACAAAATTCAGCTTTACCTGGTTCTGTGGGGGCCTCACTCATGTGTGAGGCTCGTTCCGAGCATCCAGAAAGGGACCTGGAGCATGGCTGTGGCTGGGTAGTGGAGCAATTCTACAATTACTATACCATAAATGATGGGGTTCAGACAGTAGGCAACAAATCAGAGAGCTATTTACTATATGTAGAAAAATCCATTGATTCTTACAACAGTGATTTTATTTTACTGTACAATTCTATTGGTTCTAGGACATATTTGTAGTTTTCTAAGTATTATATTTTGTCATCTGCAAATAATGAGAATTTGACTTCTTTTCTAATCTGGATGCCCCCTCATAAACTCTATATGGAAAAGACATTTGTGCTCCTATTCTCACTACAGCACTATTCACAGTAGCTGATATCTGGAACTAACCCAGTTATCCAAGATCAGCTGACTGTATTAAGAAACTATGGTGCATCTACAAAGTGGAATCCTACTAGACTTTAAGAAAAGAAAAAATCATGTCATTTTCTGCCAAGTGGATGGATCTGGAGAGTATCATGATGAGTGAGTTCGTGAGAAGGAGAGTGACAGACACAGAATGATCTCTTTCATATGCAGAATATAAAGAAACATAGTAGGGAAGGTAACATGCCCGAAAACAACAAAAACTGAGAACTGGCCATTAGCAGAATCACCACTAGAACTGGTCATAAGTAAAATGACCATTAGTAGAATGACCATGGATGGGGACATATTACAGGTGGGGAAGACTGGTAAAATGGTGGAGGAAGTGGACATTCATATAAATTATGCATTAATAATTTTGTAAGACACTGTGTCTAAAATAATTTTTTGCTAAAGCATAACCTGGGTTATTTTGACATACAAATAGTTCTTGTGCTTGAAAATAAGTTGATCCCAAATCCACACTACATTATGTGTATAGATCATGAGGCAACATATATCAAAAGTACATACAGTCCTGTGCGCTTAAAGACTTTACTGGAATAACACAATATTCAGCAATGTTGTGTAGTGGTATATAATAGGAAGGACACAGTAACAGAAGACTTCAGAAAATATATTAAGCAAGGAAGCTAGCAAAGAGAAGTGAAGAAAGCACTGAAACTAGAAATGTTAGTGTCTGGAAAGTATTATTCACTATGAATCTGCCTTCTATCAGGACATGTTTACTTCTGCACAAATTTTCACTCCAGCTGTTATGCTAGGTTCTCAGAATCCTACAGTCAGACAAACTACTTTAGCACAAATAGCTTCATGCTGCAATAAAGCAGTTATGTTTGTTTTTAAAAGGTGGACTATGTTTTAACTTTATGTAATACATTTTCCTGTCAAAGGAAAACACTTGAAAATCATAAAAATTGTGTAGTGGCATAAAATAGGAAGGAAAATGGAAAACCCTTCCTGTCCATGGAAAACCCTAAAAAATTAAAAAAAAACTTTTTATAATTCACATTCAGATGTTTATAACCTAAAACATTCTTAAATGTTTATAAATTCTCCTATTTTTCTTTTTGTTTTGCTTTCAACCCAGGGAAAATTCAACATTAATTTGGCAGGAACTGGGCTGAAGATATCCAGCACAGCCAAGTGGCTTGCTCTGGGGAATTATGCCTCTGCCATTATACACAGATCACAGGTAAATCTTGTAACAAGAAGCCAGTTTGAGGAAAATTTTTGTTCTATGATCAAAAGAACTTAAGAAATCTTAACCTTAAATTTGAATTCATAGTTAATGATTAATTGATTGTATATTATGAGATATGTTACATATAAGTAGCATATCATTGGTATATAAAATTATGGAACTGGGCTAATTTTTATTTTGTGTAAGTTTTATACTCATAAAAAATTCTTACACAGATTATATAAACATCAAATACCAAGACAAACAGACTTTTATGTAGCTCAATATTGGGATTATTAATAATTTGAACAAATTTCTGAAGAAAGAAGTCTTTTAGCTAGTTAAATTATGAAAGGTTATAAATTTTAATATTTCAAGATAAGGGTTAATTTTCCCATTTATTTATTGTATTTCTCTAGCATGTCAAGTGATCAAGTGATTTCTGTAGTATTAAAAAATATCATCAAGTTTCTTCAGTAATCAATATGGGTTTTATGAATGCATATAAAGATCAGAATTTCTTAAAGTTTTTCCACTTGTGACTCCTTTTTACTTGAGAAACAAAACGTGGCCAAGTGCTGCCAAAACAACTTGGATTCATTTCATGATTGGTTTTACAGTAACTTCTTGTTCATTTAATATTCAGAACATTTTTACTGTTTTCAAATTCTTCATGTTGCCCCCACCCCCAATTCAATTACCAAACACAAATGGGGTTTTAAAAAGCAGGATCTAGGTAACATTATTATGCATTTTCATATCATACACAAATTTAATGTAGAATCCACTTTATTTTATTATTGGTATGGCTTGTTAGCACATCATTTTGAAAGGCTTCTATTACTTAAAATTTCTATGTATTAGTTCACATGTCTCTGCCCACAGTAAATTAGGATCTTGGTTATAAGATAATGGTTATTATGACAAAAATTAATGCCATCAATAATTCCAGCTCACTATATTTATCTTATGAATTTTTTTCTTTTGACAAAAATTACTTCTGTCATAATCATAGTTTTGAATATTGTGAACAAAATCATTATTTAATGGGCTTGTTATTTAGTTTTCCTAAGACAAAATTCATTGATGATGCTATTCTTGCCCACTTCATGTATCTAACTCCTTATTCATAGATTAACTGTTCAAATGTCTGAGGGTTTATCTCTGGGATTTTAAATTATATTTTATTGGTCTGAGAGTTTATCTTTATTCCAGCACTGCAATTTTTATTATGATAGCTTTACATATGCTTTAAATTGAGTGAATGTGAAACCTTTTGTTTCATTTTTTTTCTCAAAATACTTTGGGGTTTGGAAACTTTATAATTCTATAAAAATTTTAATAGCATATAACTTCTTAAAAAACATCATTGAATATATTAAATGTAATTAATTTAAATTAATTTAAATTTTGCATAAATTTTATTTAATTAATATACTGTTTTATATAGGTTAAACATTTTAACAATATTGTTTTTTTCAATCTACAAACAATGAATATTTCCTATTTTCTCATGTCTATTTTATATATTTTTTAACAGTTATTTAGAATTTTCTTTCCTCTTTTTCCTTCATTTTTTTTCTGGGTGGTTCTCAGGGCTTACTCCCGACACTGCACATAGGGATCACTCCTGACAGTGTCAGGGATCCAAATGTGGTGCTAAAGATTGAACCTGGGTCTGATGAATGCAAGGCAAGTGTCTTACCCATTGTATTATCTCTCCAGTCCAAGAGGCTTTCAGTTCTTAGCTCCTTGCATCCTTTGTTGAGTTGATTCCCACACATTTGTTTCGTTGAACTAGAGAATCATTTTACTGGAGTTCCCACTAAAACAACTATTTTAACTGGAGTAGTCTCTTCTAAATTTCTCTTCTAGTTCACTATTTGTTTATAGACACGTGAACAATTTTATGTATTTATAATTTTACTTTTCTGTGTTGATTTTTGTTTCTAAATATTTAGGGGAGTAATTAAGGCATAATTTTCATGTCATCGGTGAGCAATGATAATTGAACTTATTTTCTAATTTGACTGTCTTTTATTTCTTTTACTTGATTGATTGCTCTTGCAAGGCCTTCCAAAACTATATTGAATAGTAGTGGGAAAAGTGGATATTCTTGATTCATGCACAGGCTTCCCTCAAAGGAAAGGCCTCTAGATTTGTGCTAAGCATTAAGCTGTCTATGGGCTTTATGTATATGGCTGTTACTATCCTTTTTTTTTTTTTTTGAGATGCCACACAAAAAACTCAGGTTTACTTCTGGCTCTGTGTTCAGGGATTGCTCCTGTCAGGACTCAAAACCGTATGGGGTGCCAGGAATTGCAACCAGATAGGTGTGTGCAAAGCAAGCACTTTACTCATGGATACTATCTTTCCAGCCTCTGATGGCTGTTACTATCTTTTTAAATTTTGTTAATAACTATGAGATACAAAGTCACAAAAATGTCCACAATTGTGTTTCAGTCATAAAATATTCTAACACATCCCTTCTTAAAAGTATGCTCTTTCTATCTTTATAAGTTGAGAGATGATTGTTTTTTAATCATGAATGGATGTTGTATACAGTGAAATTTTTCTATCAATCAATTGACATGATTGAATTATTTCAATTTGTTGTTGTTGTTCTGGTATAGCCCATTCATTGATTTGCATATTTTGAACCATTCTTGCATCCATGAATAAATTTTATTTCATCAGGGTACATTGCTGCTCTTAATATATTGGGGATTCAGTTCACTAGGGTTTGGATATTTGCATCAATGTTCTTACAGGATAGTGGACTCAAAATTTCTTTTTTAGTTATTGTAGCGATATAATACTGTTCTTTTTCCAGGTTTCCAGGATCACATACATGTCACCTTTCAGCTTAAAAACTACCCTGTTTTTTCCTAGAACCAGAAAGAACAGAAATAAATTTGTCCCCAGGTTTCTAAAGCTTCTCACATATCCCTTCTTGAAGACAATAAGCATGTGCTAATTATCTACAGCTACATGACAACAGACACTAAAACCTAAAGACTTGCAGCTATGATTTATTGTCATTAGTAAAGTTAGTGATTCTCTAAGTCATGAATTTTGTCATGCTGACTTATCTCTGGTGCATTATTTTTGGAGCATATCCTGAGATGACTGAGTTGTACACTCCAGAGAGTTTCCCCAGTGCCTGGTTTGCTCAGCCTCAAAATGTGCCAACCTCGGTAGTTGGATGCTCAGTGGTACCCTAAGGAAGGAGAATCGGTTTGCCACTATTGTATGGGAAGTCTGAGGACATCCTTGAATTAATACAACATCTGGGTATGAAAATAAGTCATCCAGGTGTGAAAATAAGGCTTTGTCATGTGCCTGATCTTCTCCAAATCTGTGACTTCCCAAGTGTGATACTAACTAGTCACTTCCATCATGCCTCCTACAGTGCTTTGTCCAAAATAGTGACTTTTGGACATTTACAAATGTTAGAGTTCTATATGGCTTTCTTTTTCGCATTTAATTTCTACCTTTAAAGCATTGTTTTCTGAAAATATTTTTGATATAAGTTCTATTGGGGGGAACGGGATGATTTTTGAGCACCAAGATTGTGTCCTTATGTGTGGTCTATCTGGAAGAATGTTACATGTGCACTGAAAAAGAATATGTATTCAACTCTGGGAGATGAAGAGTCTTATACAGTGTTTTCTATGCTTTATGCGTAGTTGATTTTTTTCATCAGGTCTATTATCTCCTATAATTCTGCCTCTCCCTGTTCTTAGGATGGAACAAAAGTCTATGGTAGATGTGGAGGTTTCTGCGGAAAGTGTATTCCACATATGACTACTGGTCTGGCAGTTCAAGTCATATGAACACTGAAATTGGAAATGTGGCACAAGATGACATGATCATTGGAACCTCCATCACCGGTGCTCATTTTTTATACTCCTGAGATCCTGTGTGCAAAATGTTGGTGCATTTCTTTCAGGGTGCTCTTCAGGGATTCAATTTACTGTTAAAATTTTCCAAGGTCTTTATAAAAGCTTAAATAAATGACTCAATTGAGAATTTTTAAATTTATAGTAATATGTATTAGAGGATATAGGAATGTTTGAATGACTTAGACCAAAATAATATTGCTGTTAACAACTTGTATTGGATCACAGTTATATATATATATATATATATATATATATATAAACATACATCTAAATCTCTACTGTATCCTACTGCAAACCAAAATTTTGTTCTATATCTTGTTAAAATGGGGTTAGAAAAATGAACATATTCAAAACTACTGAAATTATTATTTACTCAGGTGTATAGAAGTCAATAGTCACATTTCAAAAGTGCATAGCCATTATACTTTCTACTGATATAGTTTAGGTACCTTGTTTTATTTTATTTTTAGTTGTGAGATATGGTGCTTAAAATAAAAAGATAGTTCTAAAAATGTGGTACAAATTTTATATTCAATACATGCCTGGTTTAAATAATAAACATGAAATTTTGTGGGTGCTATATGGAATAAGATGTGATATAATATATTTTGATTTTATATATCTGCCTCTCATTTGTACTTAAAAACAATATGTTGTCTTTATAGTGTCTATATTTAATGCACTTACAATTATAATATGTAAATATCCACTTTTTCAAAATCTGTTTTTATAGATATATGCTATATTAATCAAATGAAATGTAATAATTACTGAAATTTTTAAGATCTTTGCAAACAAATTTTACTGACATAACCAATATTTTTATTAGAAATTCTCAAGTTATTTTTTTGCCTGAGGTTTCTTAAAGGCAGCATATAAAAGGTAGTCTAAAAATCAATTATTCATGTGTAAATCCTCAGGTATTTATAAGGTGAATAATTTAGATTATATTACATAAAAATGTGATTTTAAAGAATGACTGTCAGATATTTTTCTCCCATGGTATCCTATTCTGTAAACACAAACAAAAGGAAACCATTTTTCTAGTAAATAGCAGTGTACGCACAAAGTTTCAAATTTTTTCACCAAACATTTATTAGGGTTGTTTTACACCATATAAGGCACTAAAGTAATTTTGTGCCATGTGGTGAAATAAACGTATGAAGCTATATATATATCTGTGTCAGAATGAAAACGTATTTTTTACTATGTTTTAACCAGTTACAAATATTAATATGGGTTGTGTAACGTATAGAAAGTTTTTCATTTATAATTAGTTTTACTTATATACATCTTAATAAAAATATATTTGTGCCATATGTTTGTATATTATTTTCTTTTTTCTTAAAAATACAAGGAGTTTCTAATTAAAAATAGTTTATGACTCTAAAATTATGTTAGAAATTTAAAGACAATTTTTATTTAATTTATTTAGAGGGATAGAATAATTTTTGTCTGATGTCTACCTGATTCATAGTAGGGGTAGTATGGATACGAACTAAGACAAAATTCTAATACCTCCAAAATCTATTGTTCAAAAAATGAAAACCTGTGTCTACTTATATCCAATTAGTCTAATAAAATTGTATAGCCAATGGCACAGGGAAATATTGTCCCCCCACAGGCTAGAGGAAGGAGAATATCTTACGAATAATAATATTTTATACCAATATATCTTCATTTTCTATTAAAAATTATAAAACTACTCTCCAGAGTCATCAACTAAATTTAAATAACCCCTTACAGTGGGAAAACATTTTAGATGAGCTACATGAATTTTCTCTTACCTATGGGGTATAGCATATTTCATTATCTAATTTTCAATTTACATGATTGGATAGAGACCTCTCAGATGATTTTTGCCAATAGATTTTTTTTTTTGATAAAATATTCTTGGTTAATTTTGCCTCCTTTCTCTTCACCTGTTTCACTATTCTCCCACAAAAGTAAAAAAAAAAAGGAGCAAACATATTTGGCAGTGACGCAGTTATGTGTGAATACAATTTAAAACATCTTACAATGTGCTATTGATTTACAGCCACTATCCATCCTCCAGGACTTTTTTTTCTCCACAAATGATTCATGATTCTCTTTTTCTCTCTTCCTCTCTCTCTTTCTCTTGTTCTTCTCTTTCTATCAGTCATCTACTGTCTCCTCTTCATCAAATAAACCAGCATGTTTTTCTTCTCTCATATTTTCTCTTCATTGCTTTCCACTTCTTGTCTGTTTTTGTTTTCTGTTTTTCATTTTTGCACTTCTAGGTATCAAACACAGAACCTCACACGAGAAAAACAAATAAGTGATCTATCACTGATCCCCCAGCCTCTTCTCAACTTGAAAATTAATCCAAGCTCTTCTCCCTAGTCTTGTTCTCTGTCTTCTCACTATCAAATATTCTGGAGGAATCAATTACATTCAAGATCATTATTTAAAAAGTTGGCTACTTACATAGCTAATAATTTACATGCTGTTTTCTCTTTGCTTTTTTAACTTGATTTTTTAATTAGTTGGTTATCTCACTTGTAAGTTAATAGTTTTGTTTCTTCCCATTCTTACAAACTTTTTTTAAATGTGAGTACTATGATTTCTGGCTATGGACATTCAGTGTTCCAACCATCAGTCTGTATTCACACCAGTTTCAGAATCCATCCAATAACCCAAGTTTCCCACCCTCTCCCCACTCTGTCTCATGACCAAACTTATTTTCAAAACATGTTTCTTGTACTTTGTGTCACATGCTTGCACAATCGCTGACTGTTACAGTTTTGATGTGCATACATCACTGATATGTGCAAGACCGTAGAATATGTGTAATTGCCTCTTCAATCTTCCTCCCCTATCCTTGGAAATTTTGCTTCTATTATCCAGTGCCAAAGGTTTCCCAACGTTCTTATACCTCCTATTCTCTGCCTTATTGCCATATATTCATAAGCTTTGAGCTGTTATAATATGAGTTCCAACTGAAAGTAGTGGCACTAAAATTGTTAACTCTTGGCTGCCTAACACAATTACATTTTGAGTGTCTTTTCTTTTTTTATTTATCTTAACGGTTTTATTCATATTTGAGCAAAGGATATGCTATACTGAAGAATAGATTATAGTACACACAATTCTACTCTATGTGGGAAAGGAATGACTTCTGTAAATGGCCTTTATCCAATAAGAAACCATTTAGTGAAATTGCTTTTGGATACTTTTGTTTGTTTCTGGGCCACATATGGCTGTACTCAGGGCTTATTCCAGGTGCTTCACACAAGTATCACTCCAGGCAGGACTTGGAACCCATGTGTGCTGATGAGATGGGATGTGGGCACCTGAATGCAAAGTAATCACTCTAGGCACTGTACTGTTGCTCCAACCCACTTTTGAGTGCACCTTTAAAACTTGGTTGAGATTCTATGGTTTACAATATTATGCACAGTATTATGCACAGAACTCTATCACCAGTGCCGCTCCCTCTCCCAAGGACCCCAGTGCCCCTCCTTCTCCAGCCCCTACCCGGAACTCAGTGTGTGGCAGAGGGCAGAGCTCTCACTTTACGTTGCCTCAGGACCTTTGTTGTTACTTCACTGTGTACGTTTAAGACCCACATATGAGAAAGATCATTCGTAACTAGCCATTTTTTTAATGACTTCATTTTCCATAATATTCTCTAGTTTCATCCTTGAATAATTTTGAACAGTGACACCAAAACTGAAAGGGAGCTGCGTAATCTCCACCCACAACCCACAGTCAATATAAGTAGTTTGCCGAGATGATAAAAAAAAGCACAGATAACTAGAATCAGGACTGTGAAAAATGGTCAAGATGAAGACACAAGTATCGCAGGAGCCCAACTTGTGTGTGGTGACATATCAGACATCAAGATTTCCATAAGGTAGCAGGCTAGAAAGAAGTTAGAGGGAGCATTTTTTTTTACTTCAGAACAAAAATAAGAGACCAGGAATGGGGGTAGTGGCAATCCCCAGAGAGTATCTTGCCATAGCCGTCTAATGAACTTAGACATCATAATGACACGGCATCATTGCAGTTAAAGAATGAATTCCTTTCCTTGAAAAAAATATGAGGGGAGGATGGAGAGAGAAGAAAACTTTCATGAAGGTGCAGACCCACCCACTCTGCTGCTATGGAAGGTGTAGCAACACTGCGTGCATAAAACAACAACATTGCTTCCATCTTCAAAAAAAAACACTAAAATCTTAAAATAAGAAAAATCCGATCAAACAGCAGCCAGTGCTGTCTGTTATGTCATAACAATATAGAACAAGTCCCACATCCGTGCTGGTCTAAAAGATCTTGACCACAGCACCCAAAAGGAGAGAGAGAACAAAAAGGGAATGCCCTGTTACAAAGGCAGGGTGAGAAGGGGGGAATGGAGGGTGGGAGGGATACTGGGATTAGTGGTGGTGGAGAATGGGCACTGGTGGAGGGATGGGTACTCGATCATTGTATAACTGAAACCCAAGCACAAAAATTTGTAAGTCTACAACTGTACCTCATGGTGTTTCACTAATAAAAATTAAAAAAAAAAACTTGACCAGCTGGCACTATCTAGATTTAGATCTTGTTTTATTACCATCCACTTTAAACAAAAAAGTTTGAACCTTTGCAATCAATCTCATTACCGGCTGGATGTTTCCACACCACTTATCTCTCTGTCAGCATAGTATCCTTAGGCTCTTCATGTATTTTAAACAACATTTACACATGTAGGGATGGCCCAATACTGCATATTCTTCAGGATACGGAAAAAGGTACCAAGTAGCAAGCTCATAGCAATCAAAGCAGTTGTTTTAAGCATGTTACCCGACTCTGTGATTTGGTCTCACAGCCTTAATTGATTCAACTATTATGAAGTCAGAGTTTCTCTTCTTTGGAAAAAATCCAAGTCATAGTCACTAGTCGGGTGTTCTCAGAGGTTCTCTAGAGTTCTCAAAGGATGCCCTTTGCCTTGTGGTAATGATTGCAATATCCTTACTGCAAAGAAATTTCACAGACATAACTTCCCATTTAAGCCTGTAATTCTAGTTCTTCCCAATATGTCTCTTTTTCCCATCCTATGATTTTTATTTGTTATTTATTTCCCCCTTTCTAGGAATATCATTCTGTGGGATGGTTAAGATTGAAGCATGCATTGAGGGTATCAGGGATAAAAATTCACAGTGCTTGCCATGGATGCTGCCTAGGAGCTTTCTGGCTGGATTCCTCACAGCAGAGCTACAGAGCTGTGGAACTCATCCTTCAT